ATAAATTTTAAATAAATAAATCAAATTAATTATTTAAATAACATATAAAATTATAATAAAAATTATTAAAAAAATTATCCCTTTAACTATTTTTCTTTAGTAAGAGCTCGGCCAGAAGACGTACAACCCTGCTACATGACAATATAGATTGTGCCATTGTGGTTGTGGCCCTTAAAGAACAAGCAACTAAATCGTACTTGACTTTTCATCTCGGTGGAATGCCATAAGCGCGGGGCCACCATATATATTCAATTTTGGTCGGCTAACGGTTCCATTGCTGCGCTCACACCTCACCTATTTCACGAGGTTGGACCCAACCCCTATAAAAAGGGAGTCGTGCACTTAGAGATTATCTCCTTCCCCAATCTTCTCATATATACCTTTTCCGATTCCTCAATCTTCAAATCTCTATATACATATCCTTTCCCATTGTCCCAAGCAAACCCATCTCTCCTCTCCCATTTCTTCCTCAGAAATCTCTCCACCGGCACCCAAAATGGAAGGGAACAACTCCTACGGCACATCCTGGGCCGATCAGTGGGACTACAACCCAGACCCAGCCCCTCAGACCAAGAAGAACAACCGCAGCAGCGGCGGCGGCAGTTCGACTGCCAAATACAAACAGAAGGTCGGAGAAGGGCTGGAGAAGACCAAGGCGGTGGCTTCAACGGGCTTGAAGAAAGTCAAGGAAGGGACCTCCGTGGGTTTTCATTGGATCAAAGACAAGTATCAAAAAACCACCCAGAAACATTAGGAATTTTCAAATCCCCTCATTTCTTTAGATCTCACATGACTATATATTGATATTGATATTCCCCTATTCTATTTTCTCATTTCCCTGATGATTCATTTGTTAATATTTAGATTATCTCAGATCTGTATGATTCCGTTATATTTATTCAGATTTTTATTATAGTTTTTAACTTTTTGTTCATCTAATAAATTCTCTGTTTGTTTCATTATGTGTGTCTAACTGTATGATCTGTCTTTTTAACTTCTGTTTCGTTAGCGGTGACCCTCTCCTATCTATTTTCTCAACCAACTTACATGCTGGAAGATTTCAATTCGTAATTTGTTGCATTTCTCCATCCTTATGTTATAGGATATTAGGATTTGAGACGAGGAAAGAGAAACATAAAAATTTTGGGGCTATTTAATATTTTTAAGGATTTAGCGTGTCCTTTGAAAGTTTTTCAAAAGTCGCCCCCACCGCCCCCAAGTATGATCTGCTTCTAACTTTTCCTTTGTTAGAGGTAACTCTTTTTTCATTTTCTCAATATATAAGATTTTAATTCATAATTTGTTATTTGAAAATTGATTGGAGCACCTTTCGATTTGATACTTTTTCTGGTACATTACAACATAATCATTAAAATATATAGAGACATTAAATAAGAATAATATTTTTATATATTTTTTATATATTATTTAATGAATGAATAAGTTTAATATATAAATCCCAAATAAATAAATTAATTAATTATTTAATTAATATATAAAATTATATCAAAAGATAATATAAAAAGGCTATTCATTAACTATTTTTTGATATATAATATAAGTTTAGTTATATTTTTAAATTTATTTATTTTTAATTTTAAATAAAAATAAAAATTTTTAATAAATATATTATATAATATATTAAACTAAATAGTACACTAATCAATATTCTTATTATTTATCTCCGTTCTATGAGATTTGAATTTATAATTTTTTAATTTAAAAAAATAACTAACGAAATCACATAAAATTTAAGGGGATTTTTTTAGTGATATAAAAAGAGTGCAATTCAAATTATAAAAATACTTAACCCCTTGCTAATAAATTAAGATATGAAAAAAATAAGTACAAAATATATTAATAATTTTACAATCTAAATTATATATTTTTACCACATAAATAATTGATAAATTAAAAAATAATATTTTTAAATTGTATTTGTTTTTTTTTTTACCTATTAAAATTCTATATATATTAATTTAAAAAATTCTGTGAGATTTCAATACGTAATTAATGAAAATAAAAGATGCGAACCCAAAATTCATATTACTAGATTCAGAAGGACAGTTCTTTTTTTTGAAATACAGAAGGACAGTTCTTTTAAATTGTATTTGTTGGTCATACTCCATATAAAAAGAAAAAAAAAAAAAACTGGTCCTTCGGATTAAATAATGACTTTTGACAAAGACAATCTTAAGATACACCTCATTTTATTTTTATTTTTTTTTTTTGAGTTTCAGTTCGTCCCATAACAATATTATTCAAAAAAAAAAAATTCATGTAAGTTTGATATCTAGGCGTTGTTAGCCTCTAGGGTGCAATCGAACTCTGACATTTTGCCGTATGCAGGTGCACTTTAACCCTACGATATATATATATATATTTTTTTTACAATAATAATGATTAAGAAATTAATATGAATTAATTGTTAAAAATTGAAATCTTCATATTATATGAACATTTCACCTCCTCAAATGAGGCACGCAATCATCAAGTCACTTTTTGGTGGAGTTCACGATAATGGTAGAGTTCAAAATTTTGATCACCGCCTCACCCAAACACTAAGATTTGAGATCGAACCATTGAACTTAAAAACCAGTTCAACCCGATATGACAATAGCCACAACTGCAGATGCTTCTCGATTTCTGAAGTCTGATCTTACATTTTTTTAATTAAAGTGTGATGTTATATTTGTAGTTGAAGCAAGTTTTAAAACGTGGTAGGTAATATTATTAAGATAGTTTTATATCAAATTTACATAAAAACTCTAAATATGTCATTAAGATTTGTCCTAACAGACTAATAGGTTGGTTAAGTATTAATTTGCAATATAAATTATTATACACACAGTGCTTATCACATAAACGTTTTGGACTTGATGTGGGATGCGTGACTCATCTTATAATCCCATAATCTGATATTTAATATATATATATATTGATGTGTAATGCCTCATTTTATTATTATTTTTTTTTGTTTCTCGCCTGGTATCCGAGACTTCGTCTCGATTAATTCAGACCCGACCCGCGTCGCGCACTTGAAAATGGTGGGTAAGTCTCTCAACGAGGGCTACTGCATTCACAAGGTCTCGAACTCGAGATCTTGCTTAAGCTGGAACAAGCCACTTACCACTTGATCCAACCCCTCGTTGGTAATGCCTCATTTTATTAATTCATTGCTGTGATAAACTAGGACAACTTTCAAGCTTACCAACTATTACCACCTAAACCAACAATCAATCCCTGCAAATCTTCTAAAACTATGGGTTCCACGTCAGCTGGGACTTCTTTTATTCGTAAACAACAATATTATAATTATAATATTATATAAAATTATATTTTTATATTTTTATATAATATTAAATAAAATATAATATATTATTAAATATATATAATATTATAAATAAATTTTTTAATAAAAAAATTAATTATATAATGAGATATCATGAAACTATCTTCCTTAGTAGCCCGCCTAGCCAAAGCATGAGCAACACGATTACCCTCTCTGAAAACATGCATCGGTACTGAACACTGCTGGATTTTCTTCATTAATACCTTTCAATCCTTATCACCACCCCTAGTTCTGAATCCATGAAGCCATCAGATGATAGCCCCGCCACCACAACTGCCGAATGCCCGAATCACATTCCACCACTACCGGTGAGATTCCCAAGTCCACCGCCCATTGTGGTGCCCTCCTCAGTCCTCACGCTGCAAGCTTCTATACACTCAACTGACATTAACCCAATAGAAAGATCCAGATGAAGCACTAGGAGCCCCAGGTGTGCTGGCAATATGCATTAAAATCTTGGTCCAAGCCAAGGTTTAAGTCCCTATAAGGACAATTGTAATATTTCTCTCATTCCTCCCCAAATTTCCCTTGTTTTTTTTTATTAAAAAAAAAAAAAAAAGAAAGGAAAAAGAAAGATCCAGGTGAATATAAAAGCAAAAATATGGTATTTAACCTTGAAATTTTATTCAAAGATTCGGTGAGATCAAAAGGCAAAAAGAACATTTTAACCTGCGGATTTTACTCCGGTTGCCGAATTAAATTTACCTTAACAATTTTTATTATATCCTGTAATTCAAAGTTTATTCTTACATTTGAAATTTACATCCCAGTTATAGTTTATACTTTAGAATTTCTATTAATAAGACCTTGGGTTGAATTAATATTCATTAATTTAAATTTTTTAATTTGAAATTAAAGTTAAGTTTCAAACCTCTAGCTATATAACTAGACAACTAGCTCCTTATATACTAAATAAGAATAACACTCAATTTAACTCTAGTTGACATTAGAATTGACATGGCAAACATTTCTCTTTTATTCTCTTTAAAGCTTATTTGATTTGAGAAAATAAAAAAGGAGAGAAGAGGTGAGGAGGAGAAGGGAGGGTAAAAGATGTTCGTTTTATTAAATTAAATTAAAACGTTAGCTCAATCATATAACTTGATTAGACGAAATAGACTCCATTCTGCTGTTCTGAAACCAAAAAGCCCCTATACTCGTGGCACTAGCTACATTGGATAAGGTAGAGATTTACTAAAATTAAAATCTCAGTTTTAGTTTTTGTAAAACCGATTTCCCTTCTCCCAAATTCCAAATTCTCTCGCATTCAAGAAAAAAAAAAAAAAAGCCCCTAAAGTATTTATAATCAATTTATTAATTGGTCCTTCTATTTAGGACTTTAACTCATTTTAGTCCTTCAATCTTTTAGTGTTATGATTTTAGTGTTTTAGCACTATAAGGTTTAGGGTCTAAATCTTTTAGCAAATACATATGGGGTATTAATGTTTAAACTTTTTAGGGTTGATTGTTCAAAATGTTTTTTTTTTTTTTTAGTTTATTGCTTAAGGTTTTTTTTTATCAAAAATATAAATTTTTATTTATGAAAATATGAACAGTACTCTTTACACATAAAGTCTCAAATACAAATGAAATTCTCTCTTTACCCATGTCACAGCTACTTAGCCTCAATCACTCAACATCTAAAACTATAGTAACCTTTTTACCTCTTCAACACACAATGCTAGGAACTGAACCCAATCACTAAATGAAAATAAAGCACTTTCCAACTTTAACCACAATTGGACTTGCCTTGAATCAAATCTTTAAAAATACTATTTTCTTCCCATTGTTCCTTACAAAGATCATCTATTTCTAGCATTTCAATTTGACCACAAGTAACCAAGAAAACCAAAGCCTCAACCGCAACATGATATTTGTCAAACATCTAGTAAACAAATTGTAGTTAGTGTTTAAGGTGTTAGTGGGTTTGGATATTTTATGGTTCGATGGTTGAAGTGCTAAGGTTTATATTTTCAAAAAAAATTTATGTAGTTTGGATGAGGGACATGTCCCTTGATATTGTTGTCCCTATCTAGATCCAATGATTCCTATCTTGCAATTTGAAGCAAAACTAGGAACTCTTATAATTTTTTAAAAGGTTTAGTGTTTTGGATATTACACTATTATAAAGTATTATAAGTTTTAAGTTTTTTAAGGTTTAGTATTTAGAGTCATAGGGCTAATCGTGCTTGAAATGTTAGGATATAGTATGTAGATATTAGGTTTAGATTTTTTAAAATTCAAGTTTAAGATTTAGTATTTAAAATTTAAGATTTAAGGTGTAATAATATAAGAATTCAAAGTTATAGGGCCTAGAAATGAAAATTACAAATTAGTGAATCTAGAAGTAAAAATAAAAAGTAGAAAGCTATATTGCCCATTGCTCTTGTAGCATTACCCTTTCAAAATATCAATCTAAACATCAAGGTTAATAAAATGGAAAATAATTGATACAACTTTTGGTTCTAACATTTTGTGATATCCTCTCAATTCAGCCATTAAACTATACTACAAATACATTCGATTCAGTTAGTTCCTATATTTTGTATGCATAATTGAATTTTTAAGTTTATCTATCTTTTAATTTCAAATTAAAAAATAATGATTTTAATAAATGTGTTGTGCATTGTATTAAATCAGAAAGTATACCAATCAACGTCTTAATAAAATACTCCAACACTTCAACAATACTAGTCTTAATTTGACTCTTTAACATTTAAAACAAAATGTTTAGCTGAAAATTTAACATAACAATTGAATGCTATTTAAAAATTTTATTTTCCCTATATGTAGTTCTTGCTTGGTAGTTAGTAATACTAGTTTTACTTTATAAAAAAATTAATTGTCATTTGTATGTGATGTTAAATTTTCACTTGAACTTTTTATCTTAAAAGTAAAAAAGTTGATAAAACTAAGACTATCGTTGTTAAACGAAAGTAGTCTTGAGGTGCCATCCAAATAAAATTTGATATTCTTAAATATGCTACCTTGATGTTGGGTTATATTTTGTGAAGAGATTATTCTTGAAATGTGTGAAAATTGATCCAAGCAT